CAGTGTCTTCGAATCTGCCCAAGCCACGGCATACATCCGACCCGCTTGATGCACCTTCCTTGTAGCAACAACCCACTCAACGCAAACCGCAGGGACCTGAAGCCCGCTTTCGGTGAAGTGCTCCTGAGCCATCGTTCCCCTCCCCGGCTTCACCCTTCAGGTTGCTCGTTGCTCGTACAGCCATCTTCGGCCAAGAGTCGGTTAGAGCTTTGACTTCAAACGGCTTCAGAATTGGAGCCGCAGTACAAAGGGCCTCACAGAGAGCACATCCTGCCCAGCCCACACGAGGTCCGGCAACCGCAAACGGTTCTGAGATCGGCACGCGAGCGAAATTTGGTTTCGTGATACGGCTGGTCCGTGCCAGATCGAAATCCCTGAACGCATCCTGCCATGTTCCGGTTTTGCAAACGATGATGGCTGCAAAAGAAGCTGGAAGGGCTTTCGAAGTCAGGCAATTGGTGCTAGATCCTTGTTTCGTCGTTCTGCCTAGTCAGCGCACTAATTGTGATATCTCAGCGTGCTATTCATCGCAAGGACGACAACGTGCGCACAAACGACGACGATGGCCACTACCACATTACATCACCAAAACGACCACGACGACAATTCGCTACCGCGGTACTGCACTTCTGGTACTAGTCCCCATACTGCTCCTGATGCTGCTGCTGCTAGTAACTGCTAGTACTGCTCCGCTGCTACGCCCGCTGCGGCCACTGCCACCGCTGCTTCTTGCCCTTCTTCTTCCATCGCTGGTACAGGTGCTCTTGCTCTTGCTGCTGCCCGAGTGCCGTTTGAAGAAATTTAATGCATGGCTTCGACAATGGGCATCTCGGCATCTCCTTGATGCGCACTCGCCGGCGAAATACGTAATTCTGGAGCTGCGCGATCAGGGAGCCAATGTCACAGTCAACCACTTCCGAGTCCTGTTGTGTCCCAGCGCAGGTTTGTGAGTGTTTCGTTCTGCCCTGCACTTGAGCGGGACTGCTTAAAAATGACCTTTTCAGGGTACAGGGTGTTTCCATCTTGCCCCTGTCCTTGGACAGCTCGCTAAGCTCGGCGCTCTCCATCCATGCAATACGAGACGACTTTGGGCCTTGCAAGGGCGAGCACTTCCCTGCACGGTGTGTCCATGCTAGCAGCTGCTACTACCGCGGCCCCAAGCACATAAGCCCCGAACCTTGCAAAGAGGCTCTGGCAGACCTCCAAGCAGACCTCACCCTCGCGAGGATGAGTGGCTTGCCTTTAGTGGCAGCGCACGTGTCCACAACTCGCGTCTTGAGCTCCGCCTCGTAGTTGGAACTGCTCACATACGAGACGAAATCTTCCAGCGAGCCCATTTGCAGAGTGCGGAGACAATGACGTGCAAACTCTTCGGGTAAGTTTGCATTCCGAAGGTATTGCTTCAGTTCCGCTGCTTTTTTGGGCAAAGCCATGGCCGCAGCTACCTCGCTCGGGCCCTAGCCATAGCCACTCTCTTTCTTGAACCGAAAAGGGATAGGCAGCAGAAGTTCATGAATAGGCCGACGTACCTAGACGAAGAATCAGCCAGGTGCATGCGATGCCGATGGCTGTCGACGCAGGCAACGAATTATACTCCAGCCCTGTATGGCTCAGTAACCTATCAGTAGCCGATCCTTTTCAATGTGCCGTTTGATCCGTTTGCGACTCGAAATCCTAGCATGTCTGTTGCGCGATTAGTGCGCCTCTCGGCGACCTCGACCTAGCAAAAGAACCGGCCTCTCTTAAGCTCCCACTGAGGCGTGGGTGTGTGACAGACCTTTGGGCATCCAGGTCTCTGTCGCCAGCCGAAGCATAGAGACCCTTCATACCCCTCAAACAACCCACACACAGTCAACGAATGTTTGAACATCTGCTGCTGCGTGTCCTCAATCCATCGTGAATCACCCCATGCTGCTACCGAGGAACATATGCAAAGCTGTATCGTCAGTAAGGCTGCATGGCTTGGCGGCGAGCCTGTAAATGAAACGCAATTGCTTGCGGATTGGGTTCATGAATGCTCATTGCGACAACGACTTACTGCACTGCGGCGCTCAGCTGTGACTCCAAGGGGTGTGCAGGGTGCCAACTAAATTAATGTAGGGTTCGATGGGGGGTCCAAGGTCGGCAGGAAGCTCGCACTGCAGCACTCCGAGCTTGGAGACTTGAGGTCGTCTCGAATAGGCTCCCCCTTAATTAATGGCTGCCGGCCCTGGTGCAACCCCCAACATGCGGTCCCACACACAAGATCAGGTCGTTCTTCATTCGTGATTTTCTTTGAACGAATCGAATGGATTAGCGGGCTGGCCGTACAGACTGTATTCAGAACCGCAGACGTGTCGGTCAACGAGCCTGAGTTGCTCCCTTTTGTTGCCGGTGTGAGCAGTCTGCGCGGCACCTTGCTTTTCGGCACCAGCCTGCGCCGGCGCATGCAAGCTACGACCAGCTAGCTACATGCCAGCCACCTCGCTGGTAAGCAAGCTTGACTTGTAATTGGCAACTGCGCTCAGCATCAAATTGGCGAAGCTCTAGAGCGTAAGGCACTCTGAGAGCCGTACTAGCTGCAGTTGCCGAAGCAGGAGCTGTGCATCATCAGCCTTCTATTCTGCATGGCTTGCTTGAGGCAGACCTTCTTTGATCCAGCCTTCCGCGAGCACGACACAAACTAGCCATGCCGTTTCAGTTCGGAATGGCGTCGAAGGGCAGGTGGTACGTGTCACCAACCTCGAACCGGGCTCTCTTTTTTCCTTTTTCTTCTCTGCAGGGCCCCCCCCCGGTTCGCAGTCCCGGCCCTTCTGATAGATCACTGTCTCTCATAATCATAATAATGATAACAATAATAATAACAACAATAATATCTAATTCAGCTCGAGTTCTCATAAACTCGATAGGAGTACTCCATAATTGCTTTGGGGCTTGGCCTCTCACACTCGGAGCAGCGCTTCGATTCAGGTCTCAGAGTCACATAACAGGCTTGGGATTTTCGGGGCTGTCTTCAAATACTATCGCAATCATCTGATTAAGCTTCTCAGCTTTCGTGAAACATTCCTTGTCCAGGAACCCTTCGTATGTAGCTCATCGACAAACGGACAAAACAAGCTGACCGGAACTTGAAATCTTGCTTGTCTCGCACAGTGTCATTATCGCTAACTTTTTGTGTTATAAAAAGCTGTGGTACTTCAGCGCACAGTCGACATGTAACAAGATATCGTTAGATCCCTTGGCGATGCCCAACTACGTTTTAGAGTTTAGTTTTAGACATGACGAAGTCCTGAGTGCAACTTCGTTCCCGTGACGACGAGTACGACGAGTCCTGAGAAGGCTAGCACCGAAAAGAGACAGGTCTCTGCGAGGAATATGACCAAACAGCTCCAGAAAGGATTATGGAACCCGGGAACAAAGCCACACAGACTTCCAAATGCAACGTACTGATACAAATGAACAAAGACAACTGGAAGTGCTGATCGTCAGCGGTGGGCGACTTCACCGACGACCCTCATGGTAGATGCCACAGCCTCCTACCTGCACTATTCAGGAGACTTAGGCATCGTACAATCAGCTGTTCTACCGAAACAGAGTATCACATAATATAATGTTCAAGCACCGGTCATCAGGCTCCATGGTACAGCATTGTTCCATTTGCAGGTTCTTTGCTCCAATTTTTTGTGGAGACACTTTGGCATGTTAGACGTCGAAGATGGGATGGGACGTAGGTGGTCTGCTTCGGGGGCTACGGGTTTGAACAAGAAGGTAGCGACGCGACAAATCGAGAGACAGCCTCTGGTCTTTAAGTCTCTCGTGAGGGCTGCTCTTGGGTTCACTTAGGCCCCTCCCTGCCTCTGTTTTCTGCTTGAAAGGCTTGGTACACGCAGCTTGCTCTTCCTTCTATGCATTTTCACTCTCAGGTTGGGGACCTGCCGACCTGCCCCCTCAGCTGCCACCGAAAGAACGGAACTGTAGCCGACGCCAACACGACCGCGAAGTTGCCCTAGCAGAGAAGGACAAAGGTTCTCTAGACCGTGCCGAGCAGCTCCCACGACTTTGGTGGTGCCATCATTTCTGAGATTTACCAGTGTCACTGACCTGGCGCGCAATCGCAAAGCAAACAAAAGCTCAGCTTCCGTCATGCCTTTCACATGTAGAAGGACGCTACGTGTCACAGGGCAATCAGTTTATGCCCTCACGGCACATGTCAGACAAGACATATCTGCATGCTCTGAGGGAGCGCACCCGTGACCGATGCTGTACAAAGGCAACGCTGCCTTTGACTCTTCAGCCGACCTGGAATTCGATGGTGCAACTGTACAAACTACATTGACTCGGACGATTCCTGTAGGCTCACGTTGCACCCACATGCTTACTTGAAGTTGGGAACTGTGTGAGGCGAAAGCCTTCCATGATTGCCGTCCATGACACCACTGCCGCTTCCAAAGCTTCCAAGTCAGCTACAAGCGATGAAAATCACTGTTGTGTTGCAGCAGCGAAGGTGCATTCTGCATTTTGCTACTTGGCTTGTTGCGGCACGATTTCACTGGCATTAGGTCTTGCATGGCCTTGTCCTGCACATGCGCCACGAACACTGCTGATTCGCACCATATAAACCATCGAAGAAAGTGCCGTCCCAACGGTTTGTTGATTTAGCAAGCATTGATACTTTGCGAATCTTGTTCCATGCAGTATCTTTCGGGTTACTATAGGTGAGCTTGATCTACTGGGTCAATCGAAGAACAGCATTTCAGAATTGGACATCGTCCCTGCTGCGGAGGCTCTTTGTCTCGAAGATGCGGAACTGTGCTGCGAATCTCATGTGCTGTAGTACTGTAGCGTGGCGGCATCGTGTCACGCGGCGAGAGCACCCCCGTCACCTGTCCTCGGACTATCCTTGCCTTAACTGCAGCCCTCCACATTTAACGCCTAGAGGCATCCCGAGGGATCGCAGCAGCATGTACAGGAGCAGTGTGTCCTCGCCGTCTGTTCATGGACAGGCACAGTTCTGCAACAAATTATTGAAGAATCCCCACGGCATACGGAGTGCTTTTGATTCCGTCCTCGGCGACAATGATGACGGTGTCGCGGGATCCTCAGACTCTGCTAGCTCTGCTAGTTTTGTTCCGTGACCACAGGAGCTTCATGTCCGCAGCGACTCAAGGCTTTCCGTCACAGGAATAAAAAAAATCGAACTTCCTCTATGGCACCTTCGGGCTGACAGCTCCGGGCACCGGTCCGCGACCATGCCACGTGAAGAAAAGCCATGTCAGTAACGTTAACACAGCCCGAAGAATGACCATCCTATCTTACTCTTTGTGCTTGTGCTCTCACTGCACCTACAAACGTAGCTTTTCACCTGACCGTAAGCCGCTGGACCTTCTTCGGGCGCCTGGAAAAACTGCAGAAAGCCGGCCTGAGTAACGACACAGCGCAGGAAACCAGGCGTCTCACAAGCAGCAGCGCGAGAAGCATTGGCAGAGCCTCCGGATGCTCCGCGATGCTATCCGGAAAGAGTTGTGGCACCTTTGAGCACTGCCCAAGGCTGGCCAACGCTTCACAAGCCACAGCCTTTTTCCATGGCATGCCAATGAATCCGAGCTGCGGCTTTGAACTTGCCAGCCAGCGCCGCAGCTGTCGATTGCGCGCTGCTTGTGGAAGCAACCTCGCGAAAAAAAGCCACTTGCTTTCAAGGTGAAGCCGGCTGCAGGGTGCGTGGCATTCTGCAGTCTTTTGAGGCTCAGACAACTGCCTTTCCGGACCTGCGGCAGTCTCACCGCTAGCTGCGGTGGCATCCCAACAATTTCAAGAGAAGCTGAGACGGCAGCATCATATACCCGCTCAGGCTTTTCACGTGATCTGCAACAGATTGTATCTGCTGACTTATCTCGGCACCGGAGCCTGACACAGCAATGCAGATTGATGGCTGAAATGTCCGCATTCAAAGCATCGCAAAAAGGGCAAGAGGGAAGCCGAAACCCAGGATGAGGCTACGCATCACTGATCTCTCGCGCGGGATTCCACAGCAGCAAGGCATGTCAGAGCCGCAGATTCGGCTCACAGCTTAAATCAAACTGCCAAGGCCTTGGCCGCCTGCTTGTCTCACCTTACATCAATCTGTGACCAGCAGCTGTGCATGTGTGAAGCCTGGCATGTGTCTACTGTCCCCACGTGCAATGTCACAGTCTTCTGCACTGTGGTAAGCCTTTCCGCATTTGGGAGTTTGCCTGGTCAACTGGGTATGCTGAGATCCGTGACTAAGACCAGCATGCGGCCGCCAAACTTGTGCCGCTCTGGGCCTGTGGAGGGTACGGAACATGCTGCAACTGCTGCTTCTTCGCTGACTCTGCTTCGCAGCCTCCTCCTTTCCACGCAGACATGTCAGCACCTGGGCCAAAGCTGAAAGTGGATTGGCATGATTGGCAAGCACTGCCCTGTCCCTGCATCCGCTGTGACCGATCTTTAACGATCTTGTAAATCGAATGGACAACAATTCCCATATGTGCATGCAGCATCTTACCACAAAGCTACATTGACAGCTAAGGGTACAGCCTGTGACATTCTTCCACGTGATTGCCTGCGGACGCCGCTGCCACGTCACGACAACATCAATGCAACACAGGATGTTGCTGAGTTTCCATGGGCTCGAAGTTAAAGCTGGGAATTTAGAAAGCATGCCCTTCCCAATTTAAAGCTCACGGAAAAGGCACCTTTAGACTCGGAGCCCAATGTCTGCCAGATCATGTCGTCCATGCTACAGGGCATCTCGGGGTTTGGATGTCAGCTACGCCAATCGCGAGTACGACTGCCCAGCCAAGGCTGGCCTGACTATCCAAAAAAGCCCAGGCTATGCCGGAAAAGTGCCCAAGCCTCCATTTCACAGATCTCAGTATCTTGACACTACATGAACAATATCGATGCACAGCGCCGTTGCATGGAACACTTGGGCAGAAAGGTGTACAATTTATGTGCAGTTGGACGAAGACGGCTCTTCCCATGCGTGCCCATCCGAAGCCCAGAGCTTGGTACGATGCCGAGAGCTCAAAGGAACGCACAATCCTCGACTTGCTCCTCCGAAATGTCAGAGCCGAAAGCTTCTATTCTTCACGCTACGATTCAACTCGCTTTCCCTTCGACGTGTGGCCTGCCCAAAAAAGTAATCCGCTATTCATGCCTTCCAGCCACATGACACTCTGAGGAACCCACCGTGTCTGCAATGTGTGCAGACGCTCCAATAGAGACCACCTGTCACTATAAGGGGCGAGCGCACGCATTGGCTGCAATTCGAGAGCAAATCGGACGAAAGTCGGTCTCTCTTTCGTGCTTGCTTTCTTTCTTTCTAACGGTCTGTCTTTAGTTCGTTCGTTCATTATTTCGTTCTCTCTCGCCTTCCTTTCCTCATTTATTGCTTTTTGTCATTGTGTCTTTCTTTCTGTCGTTCTTTTGCTGCTCAGTTTTTCATTTCTTTCGTTCATCCTTTCTTTAAGCAAGTCTTTCTTTCGTGCGTTATTTATTTGGTCCGTTCTTTCATTTCGTTCTGTATTTGTTTCCTTTGAAATTTAGTTCCCTCTTTTCTCTCTCCTCCAACTTCTTGCGGGTTCCGTGGTTCTTTCTGTCTGTCGTTCTTTCTTTGTCGCGTGCCGCCCCCTTCCTCAAAAATGAAAAACAGGGTGCCCTTCACCCTCCCACAAAGTCGTGCTCGTGATGCTTGTGCTTGTCAACAGTCGGAAAAGACGCCTGCGGTGAACGTGAAACAGTCTTAGGCAATGCTGCTGTCCTCATTTGCGCATGTTGCCCAATGATAGCAGCTTGTGCTGACCTGTTGAGGGGGGGAGGCGGCGGCGGGCCTCTCCCCCCCTCCGCCCTCTTCGAAAAAGCGGAATAGGAGCTAGGGCCCCTTGAAGTCTCGCTTGACCCAAACCAAGTCTGCAAACAACAACTCCCGCAAGCTCCGAAGGAACGAGCTTTCGTGATTTGTCTCATGCCAGCACACACCGACACACAGCCCTGACGTGCGAGGAAGCACTAGCTAGGACATTGAATTCCAGCCTTCTTGGTACCGAGGGAGCTGACATCCACTCGAGTAATCGAAGCATGGCGGAGATGGAAAAGAGTCCAAGCCTTCAAGTACTCTCAACAATGAATGCTCTGGATGCACTGCTCCACATTTTCGATGCCTGAGCAGCTCGTTCGATTGGCACACCTGCAGCACCTCATTAGCGCTACGCCGGGAAGCTGGAGAACCAACACTGGCTGCCTGCTTTTCCAGTTTCTCCGAGAGCAGCACGCATAAGCATATACCTTGCATCTGCAAGTGCTGGGTTGGACCGAAGCAGGCGGGAACGCACATCCAAAAGCCAAGCTGCAGGATGATGTTGTTGTGAGCAACTATAACGAGGGTGTCAGAATCACTCGCCTGGCAGTGGCCAGATCTCAAGGTCCGCCGCGACGAATGCGCACTTTTGAAGAACATGATCCCATGCTGGTGCCTCTGGTGTAACAAACAAGCGGTTGAACACATCTTCGGCGCGGAAAGGCTTGTTGGTTGGATCCTAGGCGCAGCAGCAAGAATCACCCTGCAGTATCATACCTCCAAAGAATGCATGTCTCCGTACTTTCCCGAGGCTCTGCAGCCAGCGGCTTGGTGTGTGCGCGGACGGATGACCCAAACGAGACGCTGTCCTTTCTTGATGCGTTGAGGGCAGTGCAGTCTCACGCAGCAGGTCGGCATTCCTGGGCGAGTGGACACAAACTCTGCTGTCTGAAGAGGCCCGGAAGTGCTTAAAGGCTGTGTTTTGCTGTCAGTAAGGGCACGGAGGTCTCCAAAGGAACCGCACAAAAGCTCCGCCAAGACTCCACACCTCCAGGTCCTGGACGTGAACGGGCAGCTTGGCTGCAGTTTCACGCGCTCGCCTGTCTCCACGCCCCGAACACTGCGGCCGAACAGCTGGCGACTTCTCTTATGTGCAAGCTTCACACTCTGCTGGCACTAGAGTGGCAACGGAAAGATCCATGTCCCTCGCCGGATCATCGAGCAACCTGGCCTGCTGGTGCTATGCAGCAAGGCACGCTTCGAGGGCAACTTTCCTGCGGCAAACAACCTGAGCGGAAATCTGACCAGCCGAGCACATGGACACGGCTGCAGTTTGGAAAGACGCAAGCTTCACTCGTGTAGGTGGACAGGTTTACTGACACCTGTCCCCTTCAGTGCACTCGTCCGTTTAAATGAGTCCGTCTCGATGGGCTGTCGAAGGTTCTGAGCGCAATGCTGGCTGATGAAACGCGCTGTGTCCTCGTCAAGGCGGCATCATTGCACACTGCACTATGCTACTCAACAGGCACATGCTTCTCTTCTCCAGCTGTCCTCAGCCTGCTTGTGGCCATGTTGGGTGAGCTCCTTCAGCTCATCTCGTTCGCCTTCATGGCAGCATTGGCCATGACGTAGCATCAGGATCACTCGCCGACCTTGTCAGGGTAAATGCAGAGAAACCAAGGACCAAAGAAACACGCACAGAATCAGCCCATCATCACTGCATGCATCAAGCCCACAAAGATAGAGGTGCCGGTTTGTTGGTCAAGATCGGCTTGGGGCTTGGTCGCAAACTTCTCTGCTCGTGTGTCAGTGAAGGGAAAGGGGGCGGTGGTGGTTGTGGTGGTGGCCGGTGGTGCTGGCGGATGTGGAGGTGGAGGTGAAGGTGGTGGTGCTGGTGCTGGTGCTGGTGCTGGTGCTGGTGCTGGTGCTGGTGCTGGTGCTGGTGCTGCTGGTGCTGTTGGTGCTG